CCGCTCGTGTCCTGTCACGCACCATTGGATCTTTAAGCATTCACAAAATGTCGTAATTGACGGGAGGGACGGAAAAAATAACGATCAAGGTTGCGTTCGAGGCGCTCCGACAAATTGAAAAGTCCAGGGCTAATGCCGCCAGATGGAAATTGATACTCCACCGGGTAGGTATTCCCGGTTTGTTGGAATCACGAGCGCGAAAACATTCTCAAGTAAGAGTGGAGTTCAGGATTTCGGCGTACGCACAGAGGGAGGATTCCCTTTCGCAAAATTGACTGCTCGTCGATGCCTTGCGTATCATGCAAATCCCCGCTTCCCTCGTGGGCATTCCGCGAATTGCGTACATCACAATTAGTGGCACAGAACCGGCAGTGTGGTCGGAATTAGTGAGTCGAAATTAGCAAGTCAGAATTAGAAGGTATTTAGTAAATCGGAATGAATAGCGTTCTCTCTGCTCATTTATTGGAATTAGCAACGATACTCCGCGAGATATCAGAGTCTGAAAAACGATAGTATATTTCATGGGCTCTCAGAATAATGTAACCAAATAGAAGATATCTAGTAAGAGCGAATATTGGGGCGAAATTTAAACTTTATTTTTGCAGAGATAATACCCAAATAAACTCTCACACGATTATCAGCGTGTGAGACAATCGGTGATGGAAATTTTACAGCCATTTTTAATCATTTATGAATTAATAACATATTTTAATTATTTATGTTATGAATTAATAACATATATTAATTATTATATATAGCAAAGGTATTGAATTAATTATTAAATTTACGATGATACGATAATATTAATTTTTTAACGTATTTATGCAGCAATAAATTTACAAAAAGCTACACTCACATTTTCATATTTTATATAACACATCGTTACTTTAGAGTAAATTTTGATAACTTTTTTTCATATATTTATTTTGCCATTTTATGTGATATATATGTGAATATACCATACGAAATACTCATAAGGGAATCTTTATAAATCGAGTTGCTGCCAAAGGTACGTACTATGAGAAAAGATATTTGAAAATTTATTTATTAGGGGGTATATAAAGTTTATTAGCGTATGTATGAAATATTTATATTCTCCAAAATTTACTTTTATATCCCATAAATAAATTTTCAAATATTTTTTCTCAATACACATCTGTCTTTCATGATCCAGCAATGTCAAACGCAGATGTCAAAAAGTTTCTTGACCTCATATTTTTTCAGAATATTTTTCGCAATATTTTTTCACGCAAAAAATTAACATTCAAATAAACTTTGTTTCAAGTATTTTATAAGTTTATATATCTGCAAATTTATCGTAAGTTTTCATTGAAAGCTTCAACATTATTGAAAATATATTCTAAAATCTAGTAAGTTTAGTATTTTAATCAAAAATATTAAAATTTCGTCTGGAGTAAAGTTTTATAATATCTTCGTAAAGAGAATAAATTCTTCTTTTGAGTGCACAATAATATGAACTCATCTAAAATTTGTCATGAGTACATTTCAAGACTATTATTAAGAAAATATTTTTTATCAAAAGTTATTACTTGAAAGTAGAAATAATCCTTTAAAGGAAGAAAAGCAGACTGAGCAATTGCTTTTCTTAGAATGATATTTTTCTGCGTATATGCGAGGAATCCGCTTCCCACGTTAAAATCGACTTTAGGTTATTCTGATATTGGCCCCCGTCCTCTCTTTTATCTATCGAATAATAAGCACTTCTTGACTCTCATTTCAAGTGTTGGGAAAAGTGTGTCTGAAATATGTGTCGCGCGAACTGAACCAATTGAACTAAACCGATACAGAGACCGTTTTTGCCCCCTACGAGGACAAAAGTACAAATGGAAATAAAAGCGCGAACGTAATGAATAACTAACGCGGCGTTATCGCGCGCGAGCGCGTGCAGCAGAATTTTCACTCGGTTGTCGGTCGGTCGTCACGTGCGCTCGATACGATGTGTCTCATAACTGCAACGGTTATTGTACCGGAAAGTTTCGTTGTCGGGTTTCGCTACGGAGCGATAAACTGGTTAACAAGATGTAACTGCTAATGTTTCGCCAACTACCGGCGGAACTTATAATTAACGAACGACACGCTAATGAGACCGCGATAATTGGGAGATTCCACGGGGCTTTACGATTTGTTCCGAGTCGATTCCCCGCGAAAAGGCGCGAAATCCGCTTTCATGCGGAATCGCGGAAATGCGTAGCGAACGGCAACATCCGAAGCGGCCGAAGAACGCATTCGCGGCGTTATGCGCGGCACGGCTAATCTGGGAGTAGTATAATGAACATATAATCCGTTTATTAATTCATGGCATGTTAATGTAGTCATTAATTTATCGCCTGCGCTTTGTAGCCACCGCGTTTCGCCAGATATTTCCCGGCGAAGTTTAATTTCCGAGTCTTCCCTCCTACGCGGTTTACTGGTTACCGCATTATGTCACGGTTCCCGATTTAAATTAAGCTACATAATAAGCGAACAGGAAGAGAAAGACAAAGAGAAAGAGAGAGGGACAGAAAAAGAGAAAGAGAGAGAGAAATGTGTACTGTTCATGTTATTACATTAATATTACATTATCATTACAAATCAAAATGCGGATATACGTAATTTCAGTGAGTTGAAATTTCAGTGCGCAGAACACGCGAAAATGCAACACAAACACGTTAAGTTTTACGTAAGAGATATGTTTTCTTCCTGATTTGTGTAATAGTTTGTGTGAAATTTTATTCAAACGTGTACACGCTTGCGCGATATCAAAAGATCTCAAGCGATCTCGAAAAAATTGGCTACTTATCAACATTGTTATCAAGATTATCTGTGTATGAATTAATTAGTGAAATTGGAAACAGAGTTACTACTATATATTTGAATAAAATTACAGTGAGTGACACAAAAGTAGGTTTACTTGCAAGTTGCTTTTTGGGGTTGTTAGCATATTTTCTTTTTGGTTTTAGAGGAACCCTCTTGAGGCGCCATATATAAGAGGATTTCAGCTAGGGATAAGATTACACGTTTCGGGTATCCAAACAACTTATAGGATTCTGCAATTCTGCGATAACTCGGCAATTTCGAGCTCTCGCGCTTTCGCCACGCCTTCACAGCATCCGGAGATCGGAGTGCCTTCAAGGATTAACCGACCGTTACATTCCGCTCGATACTATTTTCGTTAATCCTACGCGAGATTGACCAGGGGGTAAATAAATACAAACGCGTCGGCGTATAAATACGTTTACTCACTCGCTCGCTCGCTCGCACAAGCCGCCCGTATAATTCCAGCATAAATGAGAAATTTTCCGCAACGAAAAGCGGCACGTGGCATCTCCGCACGTATCGCGCTATTAATTCACGGATACGAGACGTGGTTGATGCGCGTACACGAAAATGCCCGGGCATTTTAATTGCGAGAGCATAAATCTCCCCAGTGGGTAATCGACGGCTCTACGGAATGCGACGGGACTGATCGAAACGAGTCTGCCCTCTGTCCTCCCACTGCGTCCTGATTTTTTCGTCTCCTCGTGCGACGGATACAAAATAGATTTAAAAAAATAGAAAACCGGGAGATTGAGAGAAAGAGATAGATAGAGAGAGAGAGAGAGAGAGAGAGAGAGAGAGAGAGGAAGGGAGGAGAGAGAAAGAGAGAGAGAGAGAAAAACTGGACGATCATAGTGCCGTACACGGACGTGTATATGAATTTTCATGGCGACACGCTCAGTGCAACCTACTCCCCCGTGCAGTATCGGTTTCTAATATGTAGATGCTGCGCGCACACACATTGCCCGAGGCTTTACATATTCAGAAGTTAGGCGGTACCCACACCGGAGTTCGGGCAATTTCGTTTTATTGGCCCGCTGCATCCGGCAATTCGCTATGTATCCCCTCTCTCTCTCTCTCTCTCTCTCTTTCTCTCTCTCTCTCTCTCTCTCTCTCTCTGAGAATTCGCCTTAGTTCTTTAGCCGGCGCGATACGTGCATGACCGTCGGATAAAGGAGGTCAAATTGACTTGGCCACTGCCAAGTCGAAATTTCAGTCCTACTTTCTATCTATCAGTATATATTTATTACACATAAAAATTGAACTTCTACTTGGCGACTGTAAACGACAGAAAACGCACGGATTGCCACTTGTAGATTCTACAGAGAACCTCTCAGCGAAGCTGATAAATGAAATAGAATTAAAAGAGGTTGATATAGTCTAGTCATTGAAGCTACAGATAAAAGTTGTGCTATATTTTACTATTTACTGGTTGGCATAATTTTTCTTTTTTTATATGTATTGAAAAAATTTTGTAGAAATGACCTCATATCTCAGGACTACAATGTTTCTCAACGACGGTGTCGACGAAATTTTAGACCTACTTTCGACCTACACATTCGGGACTTGTGTATTTAATATACGCGGAAACTGAAGTTCTACTTAGCGTCTCTAAACGGCAAAAAACATACGGAATATTTGATATACTCAATGAATACTTTCAGTTCGCGTCAGGTTTTATCTACATACATCCCGTGGCAGGACCACTTTGGGCACACTCTTTCTAACGGTTGGCGGACTGATGGAAATCGCGTGGCGTCGCATGCAATCACGTGCGGAAATGAGCAGCGTGCGAGTGTAAATATAAACTGGCCCAATTTTCTCTCGCGGCATTGTTCACGTCGCCGTTAAATTAGCCGACTGAATGGGACGTTTCGGAATGCGCCGAATAAATCAATTCGCGTTCGAATGCACTCGATTAAACGGGCCGCGCGCATGCAAGGCTCGATGAATAATCGACGAAGCGCGATGGAAATAGATACGCTCTGTTTAGAGTTGCAATTTGTATGTGCTGGCGGGGAGGAGAGAGCAGAGCGAAGAGGCAGGATATAACGACGGGCCGTCTTTCGGGCCGGCTTGTCTCGTTGTCGGGAATCGATGCGATTTGCGCGATCATCGCGTGCAACACGCACCAGCACTACTGGGGATAATGCCTACGGGCTGATATTGTATTATTCGCTCACCATTTCGCGCCGAGATCCATTGTCGTCCAGGGCCAAGTCCGTCCACAGCCGGCTCCATCGATGAGACTCGCTGCGCCTAGCCCGCGCGCCGCGTCGCTCCTGAATTTCGTTCCGCGTCCGGCGCTCTGCATGGCGCCGCGTTAATTGCACTTCACCTCGCTTCGCCTCACTGCACCCGCGACACGATCAATGGTCACATTCTGACGGCGTATGACGGATATTTTGGCTGGAAAGTGTAATTCACCTCGAAACGGAATCTGCGAATTCGTTTAACGGTTTACGAAATCAGATTTCGCGAATTCGCTCGGCGGATAATGGGCACGACATGACTGATCCCGGCACTTTGCAAACGTATATGCGCGACAAATCGCGTATGGGAGATCGCGAAACGAAGAGCGCGATCGCAATGACCGCGAAAAGCTCATCAACGCGACACGCGAATGTGGTAATCGCGAGTGACGGGGTATTTTTGTACATGATAGTTTCGCGATACTAGCGAAGATTATTCCGCGACAGACTGCTTCGCTATTTCTCTATGCAAATATTACTTTCCGCAATTTTTGTGCGAAAATTTCTCTGCAATATTTTTGCAAAGATTATTCCACAATATTTTTGCGAAAATTACTCTGTAATTTTTATGTGAAGATTGCTCCGCAATTTTTGTGCGAAGATTGCTCCGCAATATTTTTGCAAGGGTCACTCCATTACTTCCGCGAAATTAATTTACTAAATATCAGTGCGAATTTACTTGGATAAACATTTTGAAAAATGTGAAATCGCGAACGTGAGGAAAAAGCTCGACGTGTAAGCAGAATCTCATAAAAAAATTTATTCGTTATGTTTTTTGTTTATAACGCATATCTGCGATCGAAAGTATCGAATCTCGCGCGGGAGAGATGTAGATAAACAAACCAGAAAACAAAAGACAATCGCGAAATCGACGTGTATGTATGCGAGCGGGACGATAACTGTTAGACAAGCGAAACTGTGTCACGTTGGATTGTTTTGCATCATTTTATCGAGGCTCATGCCTCGCAATGTGTGAACTAATTTAATTCAATGAGATTTATGTCTGTTTGTGAAACGTAATGCGTGTACTATCAATCTAGAGAACTAAAAACCGCAGTGATTGCGCAGTCCATTAACGTGGGCGAAATAATCGCGAGTTTCACGCACGATGGCACAATTTTGATGCGCATTATATTCTGTACAAAGCAATTAAGAGATTGCACTGAATAAATAGCTTAGTTGAACAATTCTACAGCTTCGACGGAATGCGCGAGAAATATTTCTGCTCTATCGCATTTATCTATTAAATACAATCGGTTTTATCTATTAAATACAATTAAATTTATTAAATACAATGAATACCATAAACATTAAAACCGCGTATATTCAATGTTATAATTCAACAGCCTTACGTGATCCATATCTCAAAGAAACTTAACTGATTCGAGGATTATAATTGATTTATTCAAGACCTCTCCTAGTTGAGCCATGTACTTCATTCAACGACACATTTACATATAGACAAGATCTGCACGCGGAAACCTACGAGTAAAGTAAATCGCATCGATTCCCACGAGATCGTAAAACACAGCCCGCAAAACATCCACCGCCTTCAATTTTAATATCCACACAGAAAAAAGAATATTCTTGTTTGAAGAATATCTTTATTATTGATATTTTAAAAATAAGTTAATCTTAAAAGGAGATTATATGGCGTTGAATAAAGATAAATTAGTTTTCAATCAAGACGAATAGTCAAATTAACACAATCATTTTCTCATATATAACTAACAATATTGATATTCTTGCTCATATACAAGAAAATGATTATGTTGATTTAATTATATTCGTCTCGACTAAAAACTAATAATATATAACCAAGAATATTAATATTGTAATATTTTATGAGAAAATAATTGTACTAATTTGATTATATTCGTCATTTATATTGATTGAAAACTAATTTATCTTCATTTGTAATTTAACATTAAAATCTTCTCCGCAAGGATATTCCTTTTTTGTGATAAATCTGATATTATTTCTGATAAATCTATCACTCACCGAACCGCTTCTAAATCAGGGTCGACAATGTTTCGCTACGCCGAGATCTCTAACAAAAAATTGTTTCGCCAAGTTAGACTGGGAAATATGACTCAACGGGGAAATGCGTGTAGCCACGAGTGGGGTGGTAATTCACCGTTCGGATTATCCCGACGTTTGTATCTCAACTTCTCACCACAACAGAAAAATGTACGACGAGTTCAGGAACTTACCTTTGCGCCGACCCTGCTCAGCCCGAACCGGATTCTCCGGTACTGCATCCGCTGGAATTGTGCGTCCGTAGGGAACTCCATCCACCGGAACTGCACTTCCCGTGTGACCGCACGCCCAGTCAGAGAAATCTGAAATAAAAATTAGTTTTCCTGGTTAGTCTTCACTGTTCTTCTTTAGACCAAGTTAAGTTATTCTGTTCAGGTAATCTAAAATGCGAAAAATTACGAGTCTCTCTCTCTCCCTCCCCCTCCCCCCTCTCTCTCTCTCTCTCTTTTTCTTAACCCTTTCATTTCTCCAGGACACATGCCCACACTTACAAAAAAAATCATGATTTTAAGACAAAGTCTTATCGACTTTTGCCTTGACTTATTTAAAAAAAAAGAAAAATTAAGCCTACATATAAAAAATTAGTATCTTTTCCGAGAAAGCCAGAGGTACGTGCGCGCGGAAAGGTTAAATAAATAATAAATTTTTTTAAATGAATAACAAATAAATCTTAAATAAATAAAATATAAATAAATAAGAATGTATTACGATAATTGCACACACACATGCACGTACACATTCTTTAAACCTCGCAGAGGAAACTCGCTCGTAACGTTGTTAATGAGAATGAACAGAAATGAGAACTCGTTGCTAATAATGGCGTCAATATGACGATCGTGACACGGTGTTTCGTACATTCTTAGTATGTCGAGTCTGAATAATTCAAGAAAATCGCGAAAATAGCGGGCGATCTTGTCGGACGTGTCCTAACACGTGCAAATAGCATTATAATTTGTCGACATACCTACATGCATGTTGTTATATGAAATTCGCGCGACCTTCAGTACTCCAAACCGCATAACCGCAGCTGTACCGCAATGTGATTTATCTCAATATTTAACTTGCCCCATAATAATATATTCAGCATTATATTCGTGTATTATAACGTTTAGTCATTTAATATACACGTTTTAATTTAATTTCCGTATTCCCGTGCAATCCTAAACTATTTATCGAAATATAACGATCACAGTGCCACTTTGACCCAATAACTATAAAATTATTACATAAAAATTTTAAAAAGTTTACATGAGCTATTCAATGTTATTTAAGTGGAAGAATATTAAAATTTACGTTAATAAGAACAACTAGTGAAAAAAATTACTAAATACAATGATAGTAAAAATAATTAAATTACGGTCTTGTACGAGCATCTGATTGCGTGATCATTTTAATTAAGATAGCACAAATCGTGATTTAATCATTGAGATATAACTGAAATGTTATATTTGAAACATCTATAAAGAATGTTAAATAAAGGAAAAGCACTCTTAGAATCTTTTATTGCGAGACATCGTTATGTTTGCAATCCGACATCGTCGGAATCGGTGAATTGAGTTTTATATACTGAAAGTAGAGACGCCAAAGCATCTCTCGAAGACATTATATAAAAGTATCTCTGACGATGTTAAAATATCACAAAACTCGTCAACATAAAGCGCAACTTTATATCAAAAATGTTTACAACTCTCGGATCAGGCTTTAATTTATTTAATTTAATTAATTTAACGTTAGTTAATTTTTAACGACGATATTCGGACAGAGTAATCGAAAGTATAGATTATTCTGAGGTTTTGAGAAAATCGATTCCCAATAACACGTTACGAGAAAAAGGGAGAAAATTAATATTGCCTTGCTGAGACTACCAATTAATGGGTAATTTTCACGAACTTTCCTTGGCTTCTTTTTCTCATCATCACGTGGAAGTATCTCCCATAATAAGCTCGCGGATTCATCTTTCATTATCAGAAATCAATACTGTCGATGTGTATTACGAAACAATGTTATCTCCTTCTCTCTTTTTTTACCTTTCCTTCTCCCTTTCGCTTTCTCTATTAGAAGCAACAGCTTAGATGAAACATTGCTTTTCCATCATCTACAATATGGGGCTTCTCCTCTGCGCGCATCATTTTATTGAAAAGCCCCGCACGAGCATGCAAATTACGTTTTGAAAATCATCTGTGTTGAGATAAAAATACCTGTAAAATAATACGAAGGAAACGTTTCTTTCCACAGCACGATCGAGAGAGGAGGCGTAATTTAACATAGATAACACATAAATTATACCCAGCGATTTCCGCTCGCATATTTTCCCCTCTAAACGTACTCTCTTCAAGCGAATCTCTTCAAGTAAGAATGTTTCTGATTGAGTCGGTAAAAGGAATATTTTACCGATAATCAGTGAATAACCATTTTCAGTAGAAACACTGCCACTTCATTTCGTCTTATGTCTTATTCTGTGATTCGGGTCAGTGTGTGATTTGGGTCAGTGGAAACAAGATTTTGCCTAGGTTAAAAGCCACTTTAAGGGGATACTGAAATAAGTGACGAATTCGAATGTCGATAACGCGGAGACGATCGTCACTAACACAACCACACAATTCTTTTCTTGTACATTCAGAACTTCCGTAAATGTGTGTTGCTTGGTTTGATCATATTCAGCGGAAAACCTAAATTTAAATTTAATTTAATTTAATTTAATTTTAATTTAATTTAAATTTTTCGGCAAAAACTTTTCCGATATTCTTAAGTTTCTAAATTCAAATGCAAAGGTACAGAAATGTTTTTCCAAATTTTTCTGTTTGGAGCATCCACACTATTGGTATGTACAAGCTGCGGAACTTTTGGATTAGGCAAATATTACGTTGACTGACAGCGTGAGATTTTACATTTAAAAATTTATTTTCGTCATATATTGAGTAATGCTCCTATTAATTTTTGCACGTACTTTCATTACTGTAAAAGCATTTGTAATTCGGTACGATCAATGCGATGTGAACTCTGCAGAAAAATGTCAGTATTCTGTCGGTGAAGTTTTCAGCTTCAATATCCCCTAAACTCATCCTTTCAGCGAAATTTTCGAAGACGCTGCGAGATTAATAAGAGTGTTTTTCCTTTCCGTGTGTAGTATTTCAGCGAGGGATGCGCTGATCGTATTATATTTTAGAGAGTAGAGCAGCGCCACTTGGCACGTCCCTTATCAATTCGAGAGAATTCGATACACTCTACTCTTTTTAGCGAAGCATTCGGATGGGAACGCGATCCCTTCTCCGCCAAGGGGATGCAAAAAAACGAACGTGAGAGAGCTCGCTTTTTAATTCCGCTCACGTATCTTACCGAGCGCGGCGGTCACGTATTTTCAGTGGCGCGGCCACTCCCGTGGGTCGGTCGCAGCGCGGAAACGTCCGACGGCGTATGTGCAAATGGTTTTAATTGCCAACGTAAATTATGTCCGCGTTATTTCCATATTTCGTTGGCCCGTCCGCCACTGAACCGCCGTTACGCGACTGCCATTACGGCGCTCTTAGCAGCGCAGAAAATGAATATGGAATTACTAATTGACGTGTAAATTATCCGCGCGGGGATTGTTCCGCCGCCATCGTCAAAACGTCGTCGATGATTTCTAACGGGTGATCGCCTGTCGTGTAACACGTCCGCTGATACGCTCTCTAATCGTCCCTCGTACTTGCTTCAGCGCATTTGAGTGTATTAAGAGTGTACGCCCGCGCATTATTCGCGGGCACGTTGTACTCAATAATTTTACTGCGCGATACCCGTCGCGCTCAACGTTCTCGTGAAGCTTCCCCAGCAGAATGTTGTAAACGTAGTAAGAACACGGCAAATCCAAATGCGTAGTAAATACACACTTATGAGTGTAAAAGCACTCACTTATACATGTAATTTTGTTTTCCGCGTAAAATTATACATTGCTGTGTATAAAGAAAAACATTTAAATATAAGGTAACACGTTTTCTTGTGTACAAAATATGTAGCATAAAACGTGTAAAAACAATGAAACGTGTACTTCTATACATAACTGAAATATGTAAGATATACACACATAAAACACCTTTACACATTTACGTCTTTTTATACGTGAGGTTAACGTGTAATTAAAAGGAGATATATATTAGATATTAGATAGATAAAAAAAAGTCTTCATTATTTTTTATTTTATCAGACTAAAAATAAAAAATCCAAAGTCTTTCATGATATAGTCGTTCTTGTTAATATAATTATTCTTGTCATTTATTCTCTGGAAAAGAACCTTTTTTCATGTTATAACGCATATTTTATGTATTAAAAAAAAAATATATATATATATATATATGTATGTATACAATATATCAATAAATAATTTTATAAGAAAATGTTCTTTTCAATATTATAAGTTCTTTTATATGTTTTATATATATTACATGTTCTTTTCAGTAATTATAAATCACTTTCAGTTACCTAATCTAATCTATTCCCAGTGTATCAAAATTACACATTTCAAATGTGCAACTTAATATACACGTACAGAAAGTACGCATTTAAATATGTAAATTTGCACAAATAAAATATAGACAAAATTACACGTATATAAACACGTAAGAAATGACTAAACGTTTTTACACACGTAAAAATGTAAACTTTATATACTTGGATTTGTAGTGAAGTCCCTCCTTCGTCGTAAAGTCTCCATTGCACCCTCTGCCTAGCTTCATCCTCACGACGGGAGAGTAGAGTAACTGAAATCCCCGCCGATTGGATCATTATCGCAACGGTGAATTTTTCTAAGGCGGCGGCTACGGCGATGATGGATGTATTTGAAAATGTTCACCGACGTTGACTAATGACTCTCCGTTATCGAGGACAGTTTCGACTGAATAGGAAGTAAATTGCGCAATCGATGGGCCGGCTGATGGGTATGTGTGTGCCTGATTGTCGGTTGAGACGAAGTGCACGGCGAATTCGGAATGAATATACGTCGGCGTGCGAATAAGATAAAAATGTCGATGTTCGGACATGCACCTAATGTTGAGCATTCTTATTATTTGGGTCTTTAAATACAATAAGAGGAAAAATATTCGGGAAGTGGATATATATTGAATATGTATACAATGTTCTACATTAAAAGTTTAAATATTCGTATTTATAGACGTCAAAACAATAAGAATGTTCAGAGTGAGATCCGGGAATTATTAATTTTATCTTAACCTTTCTTTCCCAGACACATGATTCAAGTTTTTCCAAAAGTGTCCCGCAATTTCATCCCGCCGTTTTTCGTCGCGCTTCTCATCACTGACGACTTCCTCCGTGCTGAAGACAATTTCACGCGCGATCGAGTCAGTTCAAGACGAAATTAAATATAAACTCGTGCCGCGAAACGCTTCATGAAATATCCAGCTGAAAGTTTTTAGCATTGAAGCGAAGATATCGCGAGGAAAAATTTCGCCGCTGATCTTGAGATCGCGATCTTCAAATTATTTCAAGGGGTTGATGCTGTTTTACAGTTTCAATAGTAATATTGGAGTTAAACGCACCGGAGCGAGAGAAAAAAAGGGAGAGAAAGAGAGAGAAAAAGAATATGTTCATCAAAGGTTATATAAAGCTTAAGCGGGGTAAAAGGACAAGCCTCCGTTTGTGGATGGAAGCGGCGAAGAGACCCGAGGACGAGCGAGAGCAAGAGAGAGAAAGAGATGAAAGCTATCTGAAACTTTCAAACTCGACACGCTGATAAATTTCCGTCGAGCGCAACTCTCCCTCTCCTCTCTCGCTCGATCTCTTTCGCGTGGATATCGCGATTGCCCTTTATCCTTCATTCATGCTCATTTAATTGCACTATTAGGAGCGCAACGATGCTAATCATTTAACAACAACGTTACTCACGGATCGCCGGAGACGTGCTCGCGTAAGCCTTAGGTATCGTGTCGTGTCCCGTAACTGAGCACATTTTTCCGCCCGCTTGTCCGCAGATAGGCGTCTGGAAGTCCTGGGAGAAGGAGGGCCTGGACATCAAGGACATCGTCTGGCCGGGCAATAGCCACACGCCGCCGCAGGGTGTACCGGAGAAGTTTTACCTCAAAATAACCTTTCTGGAGGAGCCGCCCTACATCAATCTTGCACCGCCCGATCCCGTGACCGGAAAATGTCTGGTGGATCGCGGCGTTCACTGTCGAGTGGCCAAGGACTCCGACATGGAAGAGTAAGTATGAGAAATTGGATCCTTTTGTCGGCGGGGGATATTTGTACCGTCGATATCGCGCACACGTCGATATCTACTGGTGGCCATTCGCGACTTTGTGTGCACGAATGTTCGTTCCTACGTTTGCACTATACGTACAAGTGCAGGGCTTTGCACGTTTCTTCTTGATGCGATTAGCTCCTGATTTATGGGCGTATGCACTTCTCGTACTCTCCCGGAGATTATTTTCGAAGCGTAATGCTCGAAACGCGATTAAACCGTCGTTTCTTCAGACGCTCGTACACGTTTGAAGCACTGAATTTTTCTCTTCCAGTACTTACCCACGTTTTTAATAACCATATAGCCATATAGCAATATTTTATCTGTTTATATTTATATGTAATTCTCAAACGATAGAGTTATTCATTTAATACATCTCCCTGATTGCGCGTCGAGTGAGTGATGTGTATGTCTGACTATAGAGCGATTTAACTACTTTGGAAGTCTGTAATTATCAGAAATATTTGAGTGGCTTATAAGGAGCTAAATACGGATGTTTTCAGTACATTAGATATTAATACTAATAATGCTAGACACACACACACACATATTATCCTCCCACTATCATATTAATATTATTAAATTAGTATTAATATCTAATGGCACTAAGACATCCGTGCTTGACTCCTTATAAGCCATTCAAATATTTCTGTTAGTTATTCAAGGAGCTTTCTTTAATTTCGGTTTATCTGTAATTATCGTCAGCCCACGCTTTTATACAAGTATATGTGCTTTTACTGAAGCGATTTGTATGAAAAAGATCGTAATAGAGATTGTTCAAATAATTTGTAAAACGGCCGGCCAAAAATCGTGGCAATAGCGTGTTTGGCATCCAAGAGAATATTCACTACGTGGAAATATCTCATTGCCCAAGTTTTAGCTCTACTTTCGATCTGAACTTTCTAAGTCTTTCGACCTGAACATCTGTATATTTTTAAAGAAGATGAGGATATGTTTAAGACACACAGAAACTGAAATCCTACTGAATGCCTCTAAATGGCAGGAAAAGCACAAAATGCCATGTGGATTTTAAAGAGGAATTTTCAAAGTTAGTACGTTAAGTAGAATAAAAAAAAGTTGAAGTAGCCTTGAGAGTACCAAATTAAAGGCGTTAAATGGAATATTGTAGCTGAAAGAGAGTGGGATCAAAATTTCGACTTGGGAACAGTTGTTTATTAATAGCCACGTTCCCTGAAAACCCGCGTGGGATTTGCAAATTGTATAGTTAAATAATCCTTTCAATTTTCGAGTAAATAACAATACAACAGTACAAACCTGTGAAAAATATTATATAAAAAATTCTTCCTTGTGAAAGTGTAAAAAATTTTACACTTCTTCCTTTATGAAAGTGTAAAAAAATTTTACACTTTCATACTCCATCTCTGCAAGTTAAGACTTGAGCTTTATCATCCAACATCGCATTTCGTTGCTTAATGTTAATGGCACCCGTGCCAAGTGAGTTTTACATGTAATATACTAATGTACCACCAGAGTACTATACGCGCGCACTAACTCCAATGATTTAGCTCGCGCCGTTTCAGGACACGAGATCAGACTCATCAAGTCCCGGACGGACTCGGACGCGTTGCTTTTAAGCCAAGACCGAATATTAAGGCCGAACATTATAGCGCACGACGCATTTATTTCGTTTATGAGCGTGTCCTAGCAAAGTACACTAAGTCGCTTCTACATTGACTCTGAGAGAGAGAACTCTGTGCGCCCGATCCAAAATTAAAGGGTCGTCCTTTCCTTTGAGAGAAGCACCGGACGACACTAAGGCCGTTAGGCTAACGTTCGTATCGCATTCAAAGGAGTGGGAGTGTGAGAAGGAAGACGCGACTTAACATTTACGGTGATATGTAACGTCTGTCGTGTTGTAAATGAGGGCTTAGAAAAGCACCATCGTAACAGACGACGATACGCCTTTGTCGGCCCTTCGAGAAATTTATTAATCCTTCGAGAGATTTCTCGTTCAGCCTCGCGACGATGTCGCGCGCCTAATGAGGCGTTCACGTTACTCTACAGAGAGAAACTTCACGATCGTCTACAGCCACACGACTTTCGCTCGATAAATTATCGAGAGTGACTTTCAGCAAAGTCCCATTAAAACTAATCGATGATTTACCGCCACAATTGGTAGCGGCGATTTCCAGCTGTGTGATATGTTATCCCATAATAATCAGAAAAATTAATAATTCTGTGTACGTTGGTAAAACAGTGTTTCTCGCTGAATCATCAAATATTTTTGAAGGACTCTGAGAGAGAGATAGATAATTGTATTCAAAATTATATCTCTAAGAGATGTAATTTTTTAAATATATAAGTCACAAAGAAAGAAAACACAAATATATATATATATATATATATATATATATATATATATATATATATATTTCCTTGCTCATTTCAATAACAATCCGTTTATTTTTCATTCTTGGCAATTCTACTGATCAAACTAATCCTCGATTAGCTCATTTTACGGAGATTATCTTAAATGATTACATTAAAGATAATCCACGTGTCTCCATTATTTTTGTCGACTCTCGTGTTACTAAGGCATAACACGCGCCTAGCACAGAGATTCATGTCAAGATTCATCGAGCATGCATTGTCGTTATATCCAATTTGGAGTATCATCGATATTGTTCGCGGGGGTTACAGTCGCCGGCAGACGTTCTCTGCATTTAATGGTATTTATTTGCGCGAAACGAGGTCACGTAATATACGTTAAAAACTTAGTCGGTGCGCGCGCACACAAGTCTCTGTGTGGTATGCATGCGACAGCTGTTGCAACCCTCGTTTCCATTGTAAACTCGAGAGTCCCTGCAAAAATCTATTTCCGTACAAAAACAATGCGGCGCTCCGTTGAAAACGACACGACCGCGACGCGACGCGACGCGAAACGGCTCTTTACATTCCGCTTTATTTTGCTCTCTTAGCAAGGAAATATTGAAGCAATAATTCATTACAGTTACACATTTGTAATTGCGAGTAGAGCAGGAATTAAGAGAGTAACAACAACGTCTACGACGCTGCAAGAAGACGGCGATATTTGTGTGATAAATTACGAGTACAATTTCCATGTAAATTACCTGGAATATATTTTTTTCAATTAAGTTAATTTGCATATTTTTCAAATCACGTCCACTTTTATCTTTTTAAATTCATGAAAAATTTCAAATTCTTAAAAAAAAGTTCTTAAAAAAAATATGTATATATATATATATATATATTACTGTTGTCTTTTTAAATTTTTTTAATTACGCATATTTTTATTTTTCCGTTTCTCCAGATTCAAAAGCACTTAAAAATTTGAAAAGCACTTAAAATAACTTAACTCGTAGAAATTTTTTAAATTAAAAATTTTGCGTATAACAACTACATTTTGAATATTATGAAATCGTTACTCGAGCAAAGTTGGATGTAAAATAAAATCGTGAATAATATTATCGAGATTCAGAACGAAAAGAAAGCTGACGGCTTAACAGGCATCAGTATGTCAGCTCCGATTCGAATCTTATCTCGAAAATACTTTGTCGACAAGTTTCCCAAAGGCATTTGTGAAGGTACCGGTGTGGAAGTAATTGAAATTCTCCGAGAGAGAGAGAGAGAGAGAGAGAGAGGGGGGGGAGAGAGGGAGAGAGAAACAGAAAGCAAAGAGGGAGAGAGAAACGACTCGTGTAAACCTTAGGAAATTACGATGGAGGAAAGCACAAAGTAGACAAGTCGATTTTCCGCTTCAATTGTCTACGTACAACAGTCGGTTAGAGGAGTCCCGACAAGTTAGATACCGAACACCCGATAAACTGATAGTCACACATGACAGTGTGGAACCATAAAATTCGTTATGTTTAATCGCGTCGTGCTTCACCATGATTTAACACGCATGTTTCGTCGCAAATTCTAATAAAATTATTTCATCATATATCACTGAAAGAAAAAATATCTAAAAAATGAAATATAATTTTTCGGTAGTACTAGTAACATATTTTTGCTTATGTACTAACATAAAATATTTTTCAAGATAAGAAAATATATTTTTCAAATCTTAATTTTCCATAAAAGCAATTATTTATTCTATTTAAAGAAACGAATTTGGATCTAGTAAATATATCATCAATGCCCTCCTACTGAATAAATAGTTTCCATTTCTTAGATATTGTTTCTCTTAGTAGTGTAAAAATTCTCTTGCGTGTCTCAAGACAATTTTTGTCCAGACCTCAAATATAAAGTAAAAATATCTCGCAATTGTACTCAAAAATATTTATATTGACCGTTCTAAATCGCACACTATACGTCATATTTATATCGCGTTACGGCGAGCTAGGTCGAGTGTATCCGCGTCGATAAACAGGTAAGAATAATTAACGCTTAGCACGTTCCCTACGAGCGGGAGTATCTTGAGAAAGGCGTAATTGAAAATTCCGCCACGAATCGTCGCGGAAGCGCTTGAAAACCGCCGACGTGAGAGAAACGTTGTTCTCCTCTAGACGCAAATTGCAGAACCGTTGCAAAGAATGTTGCAAAGAACTTGTTTTCATGGAAAAAAGCCGTTTTATAAAGCATAACATAAAAAATTTTTCTTCTCACAAAAGTATAATGTTTGAAATACGATAAAATGCATAAATACAATGCAATAATACAATAGCTAGATGATAGTATTTTAGAAGAAACAGCGCCATCTACTCTATCATATTTCATATGTAATGTCTGGACAACAGCCAGAGCATAAATCCGATTCTATATTTGAATAATCAACCAGTAATGGATTAGTAACGAGCTGGAAAATTTAATCTAGTCTACGCTAGCTAGCTACTATAGTTTTTTGTTCAGAGCTGACTACATTTTTATTCAGATAGACGATAGACGATAGACGATAGAACCAAACTTGAAAGACCAGTTGGTCCAACTTCGAAGATGTTCTTCGTCGTACGAAATATTGAATTGTTAATACTAGTGCG